ATTACAATTGTTGCCTTTAGCTATTGTAATACTAACGTGTTCAATATTACTTATAGGAACCTTGTGATATGGTGGAACGACAACAGGTGCTTTCGCTATCAAAAGTCCCTGGTGTAATGCAAATTGACTTTTCTAGCACTACCCTTGCAAACCGACCATTACACAAGTTTAAAAAAAATTAAAATTGTCTTTGTAGTCTGGATATGTTTATTCTTAACACCATATGAGAAATCACTTCAGTTAAAAAACATGTTTATGAGTCCTCACATATTCAGTCCATATAATTAGCGGAGGTGAAAAGGTTTGAAGACTAATCTCGCAGTTTTTAACAACTTTTCGTTATTATGATTTCGAATTTCAGGATCCGATGATTGTTCAAACAAATTATCAGAAATTAAGCTAAAAAGTTAAATAACATTGATTAAATTGCCAGTATCTTGATCATGTTTAAGTGCAGTTACATTTAACTGGTAAAAACTAGCATATACGACAATTCAAAATTAACATCAATTCATATCAGCATTTACGGATGAAACTCCGGTCCTTTGGACCTGTTTGCCGTTTTCAATTGGTTTCCCTGAGCGATAGCACTGATTGTAAACATGAAGCTTTGGTGCAACAAAATTTGTACTTTTTCTACTATCTGGCTATATTATTCTACGCGATTTAACTACGGACTAAAACAAAACTTTGAGATAATTAGCTTTCCATGATTACAGTGGCGCTATGTAAATTATAATGTATGTATTTCTCTTTAAACAAAACATAAATATTCTGCCAAGACTGTTTGACTCATCGACTCATGACACAGAAATAAAATATTTACTCAACAAACACTTTAAAATTTGTTGTTGGCATGCTACGGATTATGTTCTTCTCGTTTAATTTATGATGGTATACTATATCTCTAACGGGAGGGATAGTAGATGATTTTCATATGATCGAGCCATATCCTTTCGCTCAGCATAATTGATGTCTGGAGCTGGAATGTCAATAACTGCTAGTAGTCCTTTGTTGAATTTATTTTTTTCATTGTCATTTTGCTTAATTTCTTCTGTTACCTATTCTAACATCGGACTCGGACTTCTTTTGAACTGAGTTGTACTGTGTTTATTTCTGTGTATTTGTTTATACCACATTGGCTAGAGACTTACGGGCATTGAGATCTCACAAACATGTTTAACCTGCAGCATTTTACGCCTGCCCCAAGTCAGGAACCTCTAACCTTTGATAGTCTTGTGTGTTTATTTAATTTTGGTTCATTAGTATGTGTGGTGTCAATTTCGCTGAAATAGTTTACATTATTGTTGAGTGGCCAGCTAAAGCCCGCCTTCGGGTGTGGGATTTTCTTGCAGCGTTGAAGACTCATTGGTGGCCTTGAGCTGTTTTCTGATCGGGTTGTTGTCTTTTTGACACATTCACCATTTCCATTCTCTATTCTACTTTATATATTTTCAACTCACCTGGCTTAAAGGCCAAGTGAACTTTTCTCGTCACTTGGCGTCCGTCGTCGTCGTCCGTCGTCGTTAACTTTTACAAAAATATTCTCCTCTGAAACTACTGGGCAGAATTTAACTACATTTGGCCACAATCATCATTATGGTATATAGTTTAAAAAATGTGTCTGATGACCCCGCCTGCCACACAACATGGCCGACATAGCTAAAAAAGAACATAGGGGTAAAATGCAAGTTTGGTCTATTATCTTGAAAATCGCTATGAATGGAGAAAATTTGTCAGTGGCAAAAATGTTCAGAATGATGAGATCTACACATTGTCTATTTACTTTAAAACTGTCAGACAACTTCGTATATGAGTTATTGCCCTTAAATTACGAATTTTATCGAGTTTTCTCATGTTTGCCTAATATCTGAAAAACTGAGCCATGTGTTAATTTCCAACAAATCTATGGCTTCCATGAATTTTTTCTTAATTTCAATTCAAGAATGATGGTCAAATTTGCAAAAATGTCTCGTCTACTCACGTTTTAAGCTACTTAAAAGTCACTTTAACCTATACATTATTTGAGCCTGAAGATGTTACATTTAGGTTACTTTGATACAACTTAAATCACTATAGTTAACAGATCTTGATTTTGAATTCCTCCCCCCCCCCCCCCCCCAAAAAAAAACAAAACAAAAAGAGAACTGGATAAAACATCCAGTGGCAAATATTTGTATGTTCAGGATGAACACAAAATCACAATAAATACAATGAATCCAATAGATAAGTCCTTTAATAAAGGCCGTCCGAGATGAAGATCAGGGCAATTTGGACTACCATTGAAAAATGAAAATATATTGGATAGGGACAGAAATTTTGCCTTGCCACCTACGGACCCCTCAAATAGGTCTTAAAAAGGTTATTGCTCTTTCTACCTGATGCATCGGATTTAAAGTCCCAATTCTGACCTGATGTGGCTGAGTACTTGTATACATTGTGTATCCCCCATAGCCAAAAGGACGCCCCAATTTTTCAAGGGTTTTACGGTCGGTCGGAAGAAGACCTCAGTGACCATATGTCTATTCCTTAGTCACCCATGGGGTAATTTTGGAAATATATATTCTGGTACTAACTGTAAAAAATAACCTTGTCCAAGACATGATGAAAAGGATTAGCTTGTCCTACAAAACGAAAGACTTCAAGTTGAAAGAAATAGGTGCGTACAAAAAGTGAAAATTATTTTCGCGCTAAATACGTACATCAACCGTACAATCATCCGGTGTAAAATAAATATTCTATCAACAAAAATATCCCCCTCCCACCGAAAATCAAATTGTCTACTAAGGCTTTAAATGTAATCATGTTTTGACAGAGCAAATGTTGAGTTATTGTACGACGACGTGGGGAGTTTTTAACGACCTTGACTACCCACGAGGGTCTTGCACGGTCGGTAGTTATTGTACTATAGTTTCTAACTTAATTCATAACATTATTATAATCATTTTTATTCAATATATATAACTTTCTGAAATATTCATAATAAAATCCACCTTCTTAATATCTAGTTTTTTGTACACTTAACCCACACATTGGCTACATTGACTATCGAGTGCATGTAGTCAAAATCAAACTTGTTTTGAACTACATGTAAACAATGATCTTTATCGATGGAAATGTAATAGAGTTTAGTGTGAACCTCACCGAGTTTAGCTCAATATGACCACGGCCATATAATCGTCCTTTCTAGGAGAATAAGGCGTTTGCAAGTGCTTCTTCTGTACTTGTCTTTATTTTTTGACGGTTTGTAAGCCATTACAGTTCAATGATAACGAAATATTTACACTAAAAGACATTCTCAAAAAGATCCTACATGAAACGCCACAGCTGTTTTTATTTTGGTGCTCTGACATTACGTCATGTGGTTTAATCATTACTTGATGATATTTTGTCATTACATGCTATTGTTTTGACTTTACTTAATAAGGTTTTGATATTACGTAATATTGTATCGTAACTACTTAATGATATTTAGATATTACGTGCTATGGTGGTTTTATGACTTGATACAGTTTTGTTATAAATTAATATGATTTCAACTTTATTCAATGATGTTGTGTCATTAGGTAATGTGGTTTTAAGATTAATTGATGCGTGTGTGGCTTAACGTAGTGCAGTTTTTTTCATTGCATGATATGGTTTTGTTATTACATAATGATGATTCGTCAATTCGTAATGACAGGATATTATGATAATTGATGAGATATTATCCCTTTTCAATGTTGATAAGACGTTACTCGGTGTGGTTTTAACATTAATCAATGTGGGTTTTGTTAAGGCTTTAGCATTACATAATGTAGTTCCGAAATTACACTACGTGATGTGTTCGTTCTAGTGTTTGATGTGGTTTTATCATTATTTGATGTGGCTATCCAATTACTTGATGAAGTAAAACCACATCATGATGAAGATTTTGGAAAAATGTCTATTCTTGATCCGATTTCTATGTTGTTGTTTTTTTTTCTTATGCGCATTGGCTCAAAATGCATAGACCGCTTGATTACCCGTTTTTCTTGATTTCTTTCTTCTTTTTTTTTTAATGTTTTCGAGATATAAAAGGGAAATAAAGATTAAACAAGAGCAACACTCTCAATATTTCGATTAAAAAACAATAACTCAAAGTTGTAGCTCCCGATGGAAACGGAACTCAAACTTTAACTCTTAATTTGGCTTGAAATCTATCTCGAACTCAAAAGGTTAAGTTTAACTTTTACACGAACTCTAACTCGAAGGGTAGCCACATAACGCAACAAACGACAAGGAAATCGGGTCAAACATGTTTGTACGCCAGACGCGAGTTTTGTTGGCAAACATTTCGGAATTTTGGGTCCTCCATACTCTTTGATTTCGTACTATATTTGGACTTTTTGACTTTTTTTTTCGAGCGACGATGATGAGTCTTTTGTGATCGAAACGCGCGTCTAGCATACAAACGTTTAATCCTGGTATTTATGATGAGTTTATAAGCAATTTAAATTTCAAGTTACTCTTCTTGATTTACCTTCTTTTACAAATGATTCCCTTAAAAATAATGTTAATGGATCAAAATAAAATAAAAGCAAATTTTAAATGCAGAGTTATACTGGAATGTTTTTAAATGATTACAACTTTCAGAGAACAAACATGTATATAAGTAGTAAAAAATATTTTATACATCGCCACGTCTTTAAATGCTAGAACTGTAATTGATTAGAAACCAAATATACTACAACCTTTTAGAGTTGTTATAATAATTACTTAGGATAAATTATGAAAGTGCGTGTAGGTGTAGAGATAACTATAATCCAATGGTATAATTGAACGGGTCATATATTTGCCCTTGAATCAGACTACTTAACAAACAACGGTCGTCAGCTCTTCCAATTGTTTCTCAGGGGATAATTGAAAAATAATACGAACGATCAATACCAACAGTTGAAATACTTAGAACAACATTTTAGACATTCAACTTAATGTACAAAATCCGATAAAATTTTACATTTGTACTATTTCTTTTTCAGTGAATCTTGCACCACAAGGATTCGCGTTACAACGCACAACTTATCCAGGACGTTTTGCACATCTTGCAATAGAAGGACCTGCAAATAATAAGAAGACTGATGGATGCGCTAATACAGCTGCAAATCAGCGTTATGCATGGTGGGGCCTACAACTTCCAGCAGTTGCCCATATGACAAACATTTTGATCTACTTCCGAGAAGATTGTAAGTGATAGATGAATTAATCAATAGATGAATTTAAAGTATACACGTACAAATTCCAGAAGCAAGTAAATTTGTATTTATTTTAACATCAGATAATGTTTTTTTCAACACATATAAAATGTACATACCTAGTTTGCATTAAATTTTGTACGAAGAGAGCATGTGTGTACTTTTAGTTCAAAACATCAATCAAATACAAAAACAATTTGTACAGAAAACTTAAAACTGCAGTTTTTTTTTTAATTTTCTGACAATTTACCCACAGGGTAATAAGGCTTTTTGCTGTATTGGACCAAGCCAAAAAGCTGTATTGATATCAACAGGGCGACCAGCAACAGTATTGCACATGCAGATTTATTCGTATTAGGGCTAATTTTATCATATATCATTTTCCGTAAAATACAATATTGATTAGAAATATTCTCCCTTTCTATTGTATGTATAAACATCAACTTGTTTAAAAGCCTTCAATTATATTATAGACTCTATTCTATTCCAATACTTTCAACAACACCCCGAATTAAATTGAGTTGGTGGAAAAAGGAAACGTCTCGTATACTGTTTATGACTATTCTGTATAACGTTTTCACCGAATACTGCTTCAGTATAAAAAAAAAGACTAACAACTTTAAAAGGCATTTTTGATGTCTAGAATCGCCTTTTATCTTGTATTATTGAAGCTTTCTTTGTTCGATTCGAAATTAAGTGGCAGACGATAAACAAAAAAGCTTTTCTATGCAGGATGAATAAACATTATACTAAGCACTTTACTTTGATATGTAATTATGACCTCAAATGACTTCTGTTGGATCATTGTTGGAACGTTATTACACGATTTTGACCCTTTGCCGGAACATATTGTTAATATTGTTATTTGAACTAGGGTTATAATTGACCGCAATGTCGTTATACCCATTAACTATTATGTATCGGACTGCTAAGATAAAATTTTGTTCGTTAAATTTGTCTTGGTTAATTAATAAAAAAATGAATCCCAGTTAAGGTTTATAGTGTTAAAAAGGCAAGTTACCCATTAACAAATGATTAACTGATCTATTTTTTTAGAGTATGTTATCCCTTGCTCTGCTTGTTGCTTTTTAATTGCATTATGTATAAGCATATGAAAAAATATAGATCAAATTAAATTTTGATACCCGTGGCTATGATTTCCTTGCTTTAGCCGGTTACTTTTTTGTATCTGTACATCTCCTTGTAAATTAGAGACAAAAGTAGTTTATTGATGATTAGATTTCAAAACAATAACTGAGGGAACTGCATGAACTTCAAAAAGAGTGAAATTGGATGCGTTAAAAGCGTAAGCGTCTTTTTCTATACATGCTTTTGCCGCCCTCTGAATCTGTAATCAGTCAAAATGTCACAAACAGGAATGGGACACTAATGGTAAATCTACAGACATGATATGTTACTAAGTATTTCAATATCTTAAACCTTGGAAAGATGTTGCTAGTGAGTTGAGATACGGTTTAGCTTTACGGTCACCTAATTTATGATGGTGACCTTAAAACTTACTTACCGTCGCTTGTTCTTTCTTGTAACTCTGTACATATCTCTGACTTTGTATTAACACGAGCAACACACATACGCCACAGGTGGAGCAGAATCTACTAAACCTTCCAGAGCACATGATATATTTCCCAGTGTTTAGTAAGGTTCGTGTTCGTCTTTAGTTTTCTATGTAGTGATTTGTTGAATGTTGTTTTTCTTTTCGTCGTTCTTTGACTTTTTCCTTGGAGTTATCAGATTGTCTGCAACTGATTAGTCTGAACATCCTTATGATATATTTCCCCTTCTTGCAATTTTGTGTCTGGACCACACCACTTTTCACCTTTGGTATATATTTTCGTTTGAAGCCGTCACACAAATATTATCAATATTAAAGAAAAGATGAAGATATGAAACAACCATTCTAATTTCGGTAGTATTCCTTATCGCAGGTTCACTGGGATATATGAAATATAAGCACAGACCGAAATGTTGGTTATAAAGTGATAGGATATCTTCAATATATCTGAACTTGGAATTAAAGAAATATTCAAAATATTTTTCTTTAGTCTTTGAGAAGGTTCTGTATTAATTCTGTTTGATATGAATACAAAATAAGGTCGGACGTTAAGGATTTCACAATTAGTTCAAATTGGAAATTCCCCTCTGTATCAATTGTATCGACATTTATAATAAACAATTTCCACACTTTCCTTCGGTTTTTTATCGAGTTAACCAACGTTACTATTATCAAGTTTGTGTAGCCTAAATTTCATATTTACACCTATCAACTATGTCTACTTTATAAGATATTTCATATACTTTATAAGATATCTTATATACCTTATAAGATATCTTCTAGAGTTTATAAGATAAGTTATAAAGTATATAAGATATCTTATAAATATTTTTTATATAAGATACCTTATAAATATTTTTTATATAAGATATCTTATAAATATCTTTTATATAAGATATCTTATAAATATTTTTTATATAAGATATCTTATATACTTTATAAGATATCTTATATAGTTTATAAGATATCTCATATAATTTATAAGATATCTTATAAAGAAAATATATAAGATATCGTTTTTGCGTGTAAATCACATTACATAACCTGCTTGATAAATGAATTAGGTATTGACAATTCACTTGGAAACTCAACATTTACCCCCACGACACTTGCTAAGAAGGAACTCCTGGATAATCATAGGTCTGTTCTATATACCTTTTGAATTTAACAAAGTTGAAGAACTGGATCGTCCATCACTGTATTGGGTACCTTAACTACATAAGTGTACTTATAAACAACGGTATATTGCAGGGTCTTCTACACTTTACACAAGTATTCCTTGTTCCAAACTAAAAGACAAATTGAAAAGAGTTGGTCCTGCTTTGTTTCATAAAAAAGAATGGCCAACTTAGAAACACGTATCTTTTCTAAAAGGGGGGTGGAGGTGGGGGGAATATATCCTACTTACATCCTACTTTGTAAAAAATCACTCTGATTCAAACAAACCATTCTCTGAAACTGAACTTATCAAGATGCTTGATTTCTTGATTGACAACATATTTGTTATGTTTGGAGGACGTGTTCTTTAACAAACAATCAGTATTCCCATGGGAACAAACTGTGCCCCTCTTCTTGCCGACTTGTTCCTTTGTTCATATGAGACTGACTTCATACAGGAACTTCTTAGCAAGAAAAAAAGAGACGTTAGCAGTATCCTTTAAATTTACTTTCCGCTATATAGATGATGTTCTCCCACTTAATAATTCAAAATGTGGTGACTATGCTTAACGCATCTATCCCATCGAACTTGAGATAAAGAATACAACAGATACAGTTAAGTCTGCCTCATATTTTGACTTCCGTCTAGAAATTGACAATGAGGGTCGGTTGAAAACAAAACTTTACGACAAAAGAGATGATTTCAGCTTCCCAATTGTTAACTTTTCATTTCTATCTAGCAACATTCCAGCAGCGCCTGCATACGGAGTATATATCTCCCAGTTAATACGATATTCCAGAACTTGTATTTCCTATATGATTTCTTTGCTAGAGGGTTGCTGCTCACAAGGAAGCTTTTAAACCAAGAGTTCTAAGTGGTGAAGTTGGAATCATCCCTTCGTAAAATTTACGGACACCATCACGAGTTGGGTGACCGTTATGAAATATCCGTTTCAAAGATGATAGTGGATATGTCTCATATCGTAACTACAATCCCGCCCCCTTTTCCCGAATGTGACATACCGAATTAGACTTATTATCGGGTTTGTACTAAAATGAGCAACACAACGGATGCCACATGTGGAGCAGGATCTGCTTACCCTTGCTTAGCACCTGAGATAACCCTATATCTCATATAGTTTATAAGATATATTGTATACTTTATTATATATCTTCTAAAGTTTATAAGATATCTATCTTAGAAATATTTTTTATATACAAATTTTTTAGACGATTTTGTCTGCTATTGATAGGAAATTTTGATTGTTTTGTGACCTCAAACGTTTTTGTTTTTTGGTTTTCCAAAATTTGGGCCTAGAGCATACCTTATAAAAGTTATTCACAAAACACGTTTAAAAAACAAAACGAATTAAAAAAGAAATTAGACTGCGAAAGGTGAATTGATTTGAGAGGTAATGTGTGTATGCTGAATGAAAGATGTTACCTCTGGAACACCAAAGACATCTGTATACATGTAGTCTTGATGTCATCTACATCCTTCCAGTTGTAACCATGGGCCTTTACTATCCTCTTACTTTCGTCTGTATATTTTTTAGTCTTCCTTCCTATGTTGAAATGTTTAAGTATACACGACCTTATCAGTTAATAATATCATCCAATCCAGTATCTTTAAAACATTTAAATGCATTTACTTTTAGTTTTACTATTATATTAATACGAATCATTCATTTAGACAATTCTACAACTCAACTGCACATATCAGATATTGATTTTCTCTTTTGATTTGTTTCAGATATAAATTTGTAATGCAGGGAAATTATTATCATCTGGGGAAGTTTGTGAATTTTTTTCTCTCTGAATGTCCTTCCCATCATCTGATTTGGATATGTGTAAATATTCTGTTTCAAATGTAAGCACATGGTCAATAAAGATATGTCTAAAAACCAACAACATATCTAAACAACAACGCCCCACACATTACATAAAAGAAAGAAAAAAAGATTGGTCGAAAAAACAAAATTTATCAAAAGTTCAAGCAACAAAACATCACAACTTTCTTCAAAGAAAATCAAATTATCTAAGATTATCAAAATTGAGTCCATGAAAAACGGAATAAAGCATATGAACTTGACGAAAGTAGTAAACTTACTTCTCTCAAAATAAATTGTTACGAGTTTTTTATCAGCTGATATTGTGAATTTGGAAATAATCAAATTTTCCAAAATTTAGCAAGTTTTCTATTATATTTTAAATTATATAATCATATTCTCACTTAATAATCGAATGAAAAACGTTCATC